TCCAGCTCTTGGGCTCAAGTGATTCTCTTGCCTCAGCCTCCCAAGTAGCTGGGACTACAGGCACCCGCCACAATGCCCAGCTATTTTTTTTGTTGCAGTTTGGTCTGGGCTGGGTTTGAACCTGCCACCCTTGATATATGGTGCCAGCACCCTACTGACTGAGCCACAGGTGCCGCCCCAATTTTTCTTTTTCTTTTTGTAACAGAATCTCACTTTGTCACCCTTGGTAGAGTGCTGTGGCATCATAGTTCACAATAATCTTGAACTCTTGGACACAAACAATCCTCTTGCCTCAGCCTCTTGAGTAGCTGGGACTGTAGGTGCCCATCACAAGAACTGACTATTTTTAGAGATGGGGTCTCGCTCTTGCTCAGGCTGGTATCGAACTCCTAAGCTCAGGTGATCAACCCGCCTCAGCCTCCCAGAATGCTATGATTACAGTGAGCCACTGTGCCCGGCCAACTCCTGTGTTAACTGAATGCAAGGACACCTTATGGAAAATACTCAGCACATTGTCAATGCTCAGTAAACAGAGGCTGTGCTTAGCTTGAGTCTCTGCTCTAAAGGCTGAGAACAGGGTAACCAGGGGCTAGAATCCACTGATCCTCAGGTGGACCCAAAAGTCCCCATCTATGCCTCCTTGGAGTCTCACCTTGGATTTCTCCTCATCTTCAAAGATCACATTCTTGGGCCGTGGAGGAGGAAGGGGAAAGGTGGCGTCATCTGGAAGCTTGGGGTCAGACTTCACAATCCCTGGGGTAGACGGATGTCAGGAAGGCTGTCAATAGGTTCCAGGCCCAGGGGCAGGGAATGAGACAGAGACAGGGGCAGGGAAGGGTAGGACAAAAGAAGGAGGCCAGTCTTTCTCCAACATGCTTGTTCTGGACTCTGGTGGACCAGGGCCTGCTCCTGACCTGCCATGTTGAACTACATAGGTGAGAGGGGGTGAGCACCCATATCTGAGGCTCCTCTGAGAGGAAGCTTGATCAAACCTGTCTTCTTTCCACCCAAGCTAACCTTGAACAGAGCCACAAAACTGGCCCTACTGGGCATATGTTCATAAGAAACTAAAGGACAGACTCCTTGCTAGCCCAGAAGCCCCTGAAGCTGATGAGCAGCCCCAGCTCAGAGAGGAGAAGAGGGAGACTCTGGTCAGAGGGCACCTACTGGGGGCCTCACCTTGTTTCTTTAGCATCTGGTAGGCCTCTGCGATTTTCACTTCCTCAGGCAGGCCAACCGTCCAGCTGTAGAGGAGCTCCAAGATTTTGTTCTTTACCTTCTCTGATGTTCGAGAGCCTAGGTACTTCAGGAATGCAGGAAAAGGGAGGCCTTTGACAATGCCTGCCCCACCCCCTTCAGCCCCAAGCCTAGCCCAACCATGGCTGCCTCCCCAGACTCCCTGGGAAGCCCTCTCATCTACAGGGACCTTATATCCCCCTCCCAAACCAGCCTGGTGCAGAATGGTTTCGCCTCCTAGCTCTGCCACTTACTATGTCAGCCCTCCATGTCTTTGTCTCTCCATCTGTTAAGTGGCACCGTGTGAGGATGTAGAACTGACACTGGGGAGGCCTAGAACATGTGCCTGCTTGCAACCAGCTCATGGAAGACTTAGCTTTGAAAGCTCAGGAAGGAGCCATAAACACCCATGCTGACCAGATAAGGGGCAAGCACGGAACTAAGAGGCCCTGGCCTGCACTCACCATCTCTGAGCAGCTAACTGGACTGGGGGAAGTGGGTCTCACATACAGTCCACTCAAGAGGAGAACAGGGCTCAGCGCCTGTAGCTCAAGTGGCTAAGGCGCCAGCCACATACACCTAAGGTGGTGGGCTCGAATCCAGCCCAGGCCTGCCAAACAACAATGACGGCTGCAACCAAAAAATAGCCGGGTGTTGTGGCAGGCGCCTGTAATCCCAGCTACTTGGGAGGCTGAAGCAAGAGACTCGCTTGAGCCCAGGAGTTGGAGGTTGCTGTGAGCTGTAATGCCATAGCACTCTACCCAGGGAGATAGCTTGAGGCTCTGTCTCAAAAAAAAAAAAAAAAAAAAAAAGGAGAATGGGGGCTAGATAGGTCATTCAGCACCTCTGGTCAGAGGACAGGTCTAAGTAAGGAAGGGCCAAGTGGGGTGTGGGACCCACTCAAGGAACACCAAAAATGTTCATGGTGCTGGGTGCCTATAGCCCCAGCTACCCAGGAGGCTAAAGTGGGAGGATCACATGAGCCCAAGAATTCTCAGCTGTGGTATGCTAAGATTGTACCTATGAAGAGCCATGGTACCACAACACAAGGGAAACCACCAAGATGCTGTCTTGGGAAAGAATTGTTATGGCCTATGATGGGTCTCCTCAGGCCAAAGCCAGAAGCCAGGGGTGTGGCTCATCTGGACCCGGCAGGCTAAATTACTGCAGTCTGTGTCTTTGGATATTAAGACACAAGGAGGCCACTCTGGTGTGGTGGGGACAAGGAGACCTTCTGAGAGAGATCAGGTGGGGTGCTGCAACCAGGTCCATAGGGAGTGACCTGAGGGCCAGAGTGACCAAAGCAGTATGTAGTGGGAAAGGAGTTGACTCCCTGGAATCATTTCCCCCTAAGTGCTGAGCAGCTCCATGGCTGCCCCAATCCTGATCATCATGGAAGCACCATCCCCAAAACCCCAGGGAAGCATCTGCTTTCTGAAATCAGCTTACAAAGGGGACTGTGAGCAGAAATCTGTGTACTGGGTCCGAGCTCTGATGGAGGCCCCAGAAAAAGGGGCAGTGAATCACTCCATCATCTGGGGGTCCTCTCCACTCCACCTACGTTCAAAAGGGCAGGTGTGAGCTTGGGCTAGGAGCACCCACCTTGGGAGACACAACCTTGATGAGCTCGTTGAGAAAGCGAAACTTGCCCACTTCATCGTGGAACCTCTTGCCACAGCTCTTCATGCATGTCTCCAGCACCTGGAGCAGGAAGCACGGACAGGAGGGCCCCCCCCAGAGGATCAGAGGAGGCAGCCTCCCTCCCACACATTGGCCAGAGCCCAGAAGCCCAAGGTGCGTGTTTAGAAGGGAGGGAGTGATCTGTGAGGACAGATGATTCTGAGGTCTACAGAAGCTTTGGGAACTGGCCATCACTCCCTGGGGTAGAGGTGGACAACTTACAGTACCCAGTAACACCCCACCTGTGACACTGCCAGAGTCCCTTCATAGCCTGGGCCACACACCTAAGTAGCACTTACACATTATTTTCTTATTATTTTTCCTCTTTTAAGCTATATCTGTAAAAGCATAGGACTGGTTGTGCTTGGAAAAACAAAAAGTTAAAACAAACATATAATTTTTTTAAAGGAAAACTGTTTCTCTACCAACATGGGTACATAGCCCATGTTCGGGGCTTCAGACAGTGCACCCCTTCTGTCTGCTGACACAGATACAAAACCTTGGGCCTGAGCCTAGGTGTCACCTCTCACAGCCCTGTTGGAAGGATGGTGCTGCCCTGTGTCCAGAGACCATGGAGGGCAGGGATGCTGGCCACTGCAGTGCACGCAGGGACTTCGTGAACATGCAGTCTCCTAGACACAGATGCTTCAGGAGTTTGAATTTATCAGAGCTGAGTGGGGCCCTAATTCAGCATGTTAATCATGTCCCTCAGAGAGACATTCAATGTGCAGCTGAAGTGAGGAACGCCTGGACCAGATGACCCTAAGGGCCCTCCCCTCAACCAGGACCCTGAGAGTACACATGCTGGGGTAGGAGGCTGGCCCACTGGCTGCCATGGACCTTCAGAGGCTAGCCGAAACCTCCATCCTGGGCCATGATGGCATAACTCCCTGGGGCTCTAAAGGGCCTTATAGAACCCCAAGAACCTTATACTTCGCCTCCCCTGGTGCCAATCATGTTGTCAGGGGACAGATGGCACCCTCTTTCCCCCTCTCCTCACCGTCAGGGCTTGGATCGCCTCCCACTCCTGTGGGGACTGGATCTTGTGGGCCAGCAGTCGGGTGGCAAGTGGAGGCCTGGGTAAGAGGAACAACACAGAGCCAGAATTGCCACAGAGCCCCAGTCACTCTAGAGCAGGGTCACTGTACTTGCTTCTGGGACTTTAGCCCTCCAGGGCTTCTGCAGGGTATATGCAAAGACCCAGATCTCTCTCTGGGTTGGATGGGACTGGGATTGTGGCAGAGTGGGGACCTTCAAAAGGTATGAGCTCAGCCCCTTGGCTAGCTTTACTAAGAACTAGGACATGCTGTGTCCTTGGCTTGCCATTGGGACAAGGATGGAGAGATGACACAGCCTTCAAGGAGCCAGTCTGGGAGCAGAACATGATGATGTGGCACAAGAGATGGGCAGACAGTTCCCTGGAAACTCAAGGTGGCAAAAGATGTTCTACTGGGAGAAATCAGAGCAGCTTCATGGTGGAGTTGGTGACGTAATCTACCAGATTATAAAAGACCTGTCACTAACAGCTACTACCTACTAAGCACTGAAGATGTACGAGGCGCCACACATGCATTTTCCTGCCTGGCCTTTGAGAAGAGGGCAGGAGACCCTTTTTACCCTCTGAGATGAGCAGCACCACTGATCCCATTTCAAAGCTGAATAAACTGAGGCTCAGAGGCAATTAATTACTTCCACAAGGTCACTCAGCTGAGAGAGGGTATGGGATTCCCACCCAAGCAACCTGAATGTCAAATGACTTCCTAGAGTGAGCAGCTGTGCTGACAGGGAGTGGAGATGAGCACACAGAGCTGTGGCTGACAAATGTCAGCACTGCCAGGGGAGCCTACTAGGCATGTCCACTCCCCACCTAAAAGTCAAGTCTGCATTTTGGGGTGTAACTCAAGAACATGCATTTTTGTCTGGGTGTGGTAGCTCTCGCCTGTAATCCTAACACACTGGGAGGCCGAAACAGATGGATCCCCTGAGCTCAGGAGTTCCAGACCAACTTGAGCAAAAGAGTGAGACTCCCGGCTCAGCGTCTGTAGCTCACCAGCCATGTACACTGGAGCTGGCGGGTTTGAATCCAGCCTAGGCCTGCCAAACAACGACAACTACAACCAAAAAATAGCCGGGTGTTGTGGTGGGCACCTGTAGTTCCAGCTACTTGGGAGG